GAGAATAAGAGAAAGATACAACAAAGGATTAATGATAACAGCAATAGAAATGTAAAATTATATGTGGAAACCACTAAATTATTAGGGTTCAAAACACCAAATTCAAAAATCCCCACAAATGTTTATCACAGGATATCAACCCTGCAACTAAAGTAAGTAATTTTTTATGCTTCTCCTATCCTTTACCTGAAACTTACACATAAAAATAAAGGACTTTTATGGAATATCAAGATATCTAAACAATTGGAACAGTTGCTTTCCAGAATCACCTGTCACAGGCAGCCCTCCATTTTAATCTAAAAGACTCCCCTTGCCCAGTGAATACATGTTGCATTCAACCTAAACTTCCATACACATCATTTGACAACAATAGTGATAATCCAGATGATTGTAATGCATGTGCATGCATGCATAATCTTTTTAATAATGCCAAGAATAAAATTAATGTCACTGTCCAACACCTCTATGAAAGCCTGCTTCTGCAATATGTGAGAAAACTTTCAGTACATTTTTCACAGCCACACGTGGGCTGAAACTCCAAGTTTTAAAGGAAAGAATCCATGCTACCCCCACAATCCTGACTCTCCCTAAGTCATTGGTCCTCCCCATCACTTATTTCTTTAGTTCTTCTCATTCCCTCATTCCCCCCTACTTCTCTTTCCATTTGCTTTTAATATCTTATTAGAAGAGAGTCCTTAATGCAATTATTAGTGTTTCATAGTTTATTTTACAATGTGTATGAATATCCTACCCCATATTATCCTCAGAACTTCATGAGGCAGACAGTCCTAGAATGATCCTAGCTTTATGAACTAGACATATAAAGCTCAGAATGGTAACTAGCCCAAGGATGTAGACACAACAAGTGCACACCAGTAAGTATCTGGAGCCATTCAAACACCTTTGGTGATGTGTGCTTGTCCTGATTAAGTCCTCTTGACCATACACATACTACACTACTTTAGTTATATACCCATGTGGTAAGATCTCTGCATGTGGACCAACAATTGGGTCATTAGAACAAACAAGACATCAAATATAATCTAGGAAAAAAGTGGAAAGAAGAAAACATGTAGAGAAGGACAATATATAGCTTTGAAGTTTACAAGCACAAACAACAAGTGGGTTGCCATTTCAATACTTTGAAAGTGATTAAAGTATACTAATACAAAATTAGGTATTATTTTTTCCTTCAAATTGCACCTTAAATACTGCTATATTATCAGAATGCATAAAATCAAGTAATGATCATTTAGCTTTGAAAGCTGTGATGCTATGTTAAATAATATGTTTAAATTTTAAAACTTGATACATACATACTAGTCTCCTAGGCCAGAACACTTGTATATGACTAAGAGTTTACCTACCCTCTTAGAAATATTACATGGGACTTAATAAATACCACTGGACACAGCAACTACAACTGTGGGAACTGTGTTCTAGGGCATCTGCCTTACAATCATGACCTTATTTTAACAGCAAACATTCTGGGTAAAGTATAAGGGGTGAGTGAACAGAGAGTACACTGAAAATTCAGCAGATGTCCACAGCTAACCTAATGTCAGAGCAACCCCCACCAATTTATGATTTTCACAATGACTGGCCTTTCATTTTTTATCAGATTCTTTTGGAAGTTAGGAGATCATGTAAGGACAGGACATTCAGGGCATTGTCAGGTCATTCGTATTAGAAAAATATGATTTAGCAGAAAGAAAATTAGATGTGATATCAAAAGACCCTTTGTTCTAGTCCTAGTCTGACTCTGAACTGTTCATCATCTCTGAAATAAGGGAATCATTAACTCATATCTAGCTCCTATAGCTTTTGTGATGTGAATGATACATTTGTCAGTTCAATTTTTAGGTCTCTTCTGAAACCAGCAGAATCTGGATGGGTGTGGTGGTGCTATGGGAGGGACTCATGGGAGAACATGCATTAATTGAAAAAGTCAAGAGGAGAAAGAAGCAAAGCAAAACTGAACTGCTCTCAAATACTAAGTATGAGGGGCTTTCTCTTTTCAAGTATTGTTTATTGCTTATAGTTTTCAACTATGCAAAAATCCAGGATAGAGAAGATTAAAAAAAAAAAACTTTCCATTACAATTATACCAAGTTATTTTTCACTATGAAAACTGTGTAAAAGCAGTAATTTTTAAAACATATACCCTGTGTAACAGTAATCAGAAATATGATTGCATTTCTTAAGTGAATGACATTTAATTTAAATAAATTTATTTACACAAGTACCCAGTGCTATCTTTTAAGTAATTAAAAAGATCCATGAAGCACAAAAGAATAAAAATATTACTGTTGCTGTTTCACACAGAACTATTAAGAGATATGTGAAATGGGACTAGAATTTTTTTTTTCCCCCAAAGATCTGGAAGCTCAATTGCTTCAAGACAGAATATCTACTTAACAAACCCAGTAAACATCCTCAGAGGAAAACTATCAAGAACACCATCTTGTGATCTTGAATTGTTTTCCTTTCACATGCTATGTAATGAGTAAAGGTATGTTAAATGCTTATTTTTTTTAATGCTTATTTTTAAATTCTAGTTCCAAACATGATTGCTTTAATTCAAAAAGGCAAATAAGTTGACAATCCATGAGAATGGAGATATGATCATAGTCCTTCAATATAATGGAAAATTGGTAAATATTTTGGTCCATGGTGCGTGCATGAGTGTCTTTCGTGTCTGACTCTTTGTGACCACGTGGCTACAGCCTGCCAGGCTCCTCTATCCACTGGATTATCCAGACAAGAATACTGGAGTGGGTTGCCATTTCCTTCTCCAGGGGATCTTCCTGACCCAGGGACAAAACCCATGTCTCCTGCGTCTCCTGCATTGGCAGGTGGATTCTTTACCACTGAGCCACCTGGGAAGCCCTACTTTGGTCCATAAGCTATAGGAAATGAGATATATTGCTAGGACTAGTTGACTGGGTCACTCAGAAGAGTGACAATAAGGCAACATGGTCCAAAAGAAATATAATGTGCTTTATGTATATGGTTTTAGATTTTCTAGTTGAAACCTAAAAAAGTAAAAGAAAGGGAATTTTAATAATATATTGCATTTAACACAACTTATCTGAAGTACTACCATTTCAACATATCATCAATTTAAAAAATTATCAGTAGTATATTTTTATTTATTTCATAACAAGTCTTTGAAATGTGGTATATATTTTATACTTATAGCACATCTCAACTTGGATATTAACTGTTTATTGAGAATACCTGGTGTATTTTACAGTTGATAAAATTTACAGTTGAAAAAGTACATTCACATATCTAAAACATTCCAAGCATAATTTCAAGTTTTCCAATAACAGAATCAACTGCAAGCTTTAAAAATTTAACTTAATTAAAATTAAACTAAATTAAGAATCCAATTCCTCAATCCTAGTAGCAACATTTCAATTATTTAATAGTCACATGTAACTAGAGGCTACAGTATTGAAAATGCAGCTATAGAATAAAGAGATGGGTGGTAATGTCAAAGAGTGGTGCAGATAAAAATCCTAGAGAATGTTGATAATTTAATGTCTGTGAGGCATATTATTTACAAGATATTATATCTGGTGTTTTCCTTTCCCTAACCTACATACTAGTTTCCTGATGCTGCTGTAACAAATTATCACAGACTTGGTGACTATAAATGCTAGAAACATATTCTGGCCTCCAAAACTGATTGAGAAGCCCAGGTTGAGCAGGGCACCCTGTCTGGGACTCCAGGGAAGAATTCTTCCCTGCCTTTTCCAGCTTCTGGTGGAGGAGGCTGGCATTCCTGGGCTTGTGGCCCCAGCACTCCTCCTCTGTCTGTGTCTTCACACTGCCTTCTCTGCATGTGTCTGTTACAGCTCTTTGTCTTTGTCTTACAAGGACACTTGTAAGTAGCTGCTGGTGCTTGTGATGGCATTTAGGACCCACCAGAATAAACCAGAACAATTCCCTCATTTCAAGATCCTTAACTTCATTACATCTTCAAAGACTTTTTTTCCAAATATTAATACAAGAAGATGTACCAATTTTAGGAATTAGAACTTGCTGTCTTTTACACTAAAATGTGTAAAATTCTATTTTCCCCGAGTCTTATAACATGAAGATTTGTAACTTTGGCAGAGGAATCTCCTTCTATATGAACAACAAATTCATTCAGTTCAGATCAGTCACTCAGTTGTGTCCAACTCATCACGACTCCATGGACTACAGCATGCCAGGCTTCCCTGTCCATCACCAACTCCCNTGCTTCATCCAGCCTGGCATTTCTCATGATGTACTCTGCATATAAGTTAAATAAGCAGGGTGACAATATATAGCCTTGACATACTCCTTTCCCTATTTGGAACCAGTCTGTTGTTCCATGTTCAGTTCTAACTGTTGTTTCTTGACCTGCATACAGTTTTCTCAAGAGGCATTCAAATGCAAACAAATTCAGGACCACCAGCATTTCTGTTTCTAAAGTGTGGTGTCAGAGTAACTAGAGGGATCCTCAGCCACCAGGGAACTGTAAGCAGCATGATGACTGATGGAACAATAAGAGTGATGTAAATTGATATCCTAATTAACACACAAACACCTCCATAAACACACACATGCACCTTCCTTTCAAGTTATTTCTTGGCAGAACCCAAGATCTTTCAATATAATCCTGTGGAGACGCAGCTGCCACTGCCCAATGTATAAATGGTCTAGGGTACAGAATGCTCTGAAATGAAAATTATAAACTACTGAAGGAGCCATCACAGAGAAACACAGATGCTCTTAAAAGGAAGAGATGAGCAAATGGTTTACAAGCATAATTGCACAATTTCCAGTATTCTAGAAATATAGTTATGATGGTCTGCCTATATGTTCATACTGTAATTTAAAAGATACTGACTATAAGAGAAATATTTAGACACAGTTTTAAAAGGTGAAGTTTGAATGTAAACATGGGCTTAGCAGAGGAAAAAAAAATGAAAAGATTTTCCCATATGGTTCCTTTATCTTCACAGAAATTGATGGATAAGACTAACAGTTCAGAAGAATTCTGAGTGAAGCTGAGAAGGCATCTTCTGTCTCTATGAACAATGTCACCTGATTTATTATCAGACAGCTAGAGGTAAGTAATAGTATAATAGTATATTAATAGTATATTAATAGTATAATAATAGTATATTAATAGCTCTACTTAAAAAAAGAAGAAAAGGGAGAATATCACTTATTTCACTATGGAAATGAAGCAGTTAGTAGATTACTGAAAGTGAAAGTCACTCAGTCATGTCTAACTCTTTGCGACCCCATAGACTATACAGTCCATGGAATTCTCCAGGCCAGAATACTGAAGTGGGTAGCCTTTCCCTTTTCCAGAGGATCTTCCCAACCCAGGGATTAAACCCAGGTCTCCAGTAATGCAGGTGGATTCTTTACCACAAGGGAGGTTTAGAAGATATCTACATAATCCTTTTTTGAATTAATGAAGGGAAATGTGCTCAGAAGAAAAATACATTTTGGTTTCTTTTCTTTTCCCCTGAAGTATGGAACTTTTAATAATCGTAACATTTTAGCCTACTGTCTAGTATATTCTGAATCAGGCCATCATTCCTCTAAATGGAAAGCAAGGAAATGCTATTCAAAGTGTTGAAACAGGTGACAGATAAGCACATTAGCTGTCAGTTACTGTTTAGAGTTTCCTAGAAGTCCTAGTATTATCCAATTCAGAATGGGGAAATGTAAGACCTTCAGAAAAAAAAAAAAAAACAAAACCTGCTGAGTTTCCATCAAGTCAATACAGCAAACATATAATGAACACAGGGTCGGTGGGAGATTCCACAGCCTATGGAAAAGCCATTTCCCCACAATGGTAAAGGTTATTAAAACACATCAGAGCCTCTGGTAGTCACTGAATCTGCTGCAGTCTTGAGTCACTGATGAAAACAATTTCATCCTCAAAACAGCTTTCTCTTTCTCTGCTTCTCCCCGGACCCGTAGCATTCCTACCGTGGCGTATCCCTTCCTGACTTCAGAGGAAGTTCACAATAAGACTGCAAACAGTGTTGGTAATTGGACTATTACAGGCTTCCAAGGATAATCTGGGTAATTCTAAGCACTGTCAACGAATGGTTCTGCAGTCTGTAAGGAAGCTAAAAGTAAGGCAAGCTCGTAGATGGATTTTGAGATGGTTTCTATTTTAAAATGCAGCCAACCACCACCAGATTGGCCCTAATTGCTTCTCTTGTTGGCAGTCTCAGGAGAGAAGACAAGGCTGAGTGAGCCAGGGGGACTGAGTCCTGCTCATTAATAGCTCAGCCTCTGTGGGTCGGAGCCCAAGCACCCGGGGGAATGGAGCCCAAGCCTGGGCCCTGGTAGCACCACCTGGCTTATGGAAAAACGAGACGCCAGCCCAGGACTTTCAATTCAGCATCCTCACTGAAATAACCTGAACTGATTAAATGAGAATCACAACAAAGAGGACATAAGGAGAGGCGACAGGACTGAGGGGACGCTCTCCTTGGTTAAGAGAGCTGAGCAACTGGAACTCAGGGGCTCAGAGAGTTTTACTCTGTTGGGAAATGTGAAATCTTTGTTCTCATCACCTCTGAGCTGTCACGGGGCTGCTTTGGATATGTTCTGCCTTTACTCTTCCCAACATAAAAACAGTATTAACTAATGAGGTGGCATACTCAATTCCATTGTGTTTCAGAATGATCTCCCCAGGGCAGTCTCACAGTCTTCAATTTATGGTTGTGTTTCTCTCATGGACTCTGACAGTCTCCAGCTTCTATCATAATTTTTATATTTGCTTTTGTTGATTGAAAGAAATGAAACCAAGTGAAAAGGAATCCACATAAACCTATTTCGAGTCACTTCAATGACCACTTTATACCTCAATTTTGTTAATGCTTTTTCAGGCATATATATATATATATATATATATAACATATATATATGTGTATGTATATGTATGTATATATATTTTACATATATATGTATGTATGTATGTATATAGTTTACATATATATATATGTATGTATGTGTATATATATATATATAAAAAAAACCTTTTTTAAGTTCATAAAAGTCAAATAATATTGTAGGGCACTGATGCAAACAGAGGTTTCCCAATAGTACAGACAGAGAAATAAAACTCATTCTTGGATGATCCTAAAGTTGTAGTTTTAGGGCTGTGTGAAAGTATTTTCCAAATTTTTGTAAAATTATTTTAAATACACATATATGAGCACCTCCATGATGGACTAAAAGAAGTATAGGACTCTCTAAAGAAAGAAGCAATGGGAAAGAATCTCTTACTAGATGGAGGAGTAAATCAAAAGATGAAAGTACTCATTACATACATATAATTCACAGGTACTTCTAGCTTTTTTCCCCCTCACTCTCAAATTACACTCATATACATTTATATTATTTATGTACCTAAAATAGTCACATAGAATTTTTGCCTGTTAAGATATGTAACCCCTGAGACAAGTTTCCAAAAGTAGCCCCTCTCCTCCTCCTCCTTCCCTCTTACTTCCTCCCTCCCTGTCTCTACCTCTTCTCTTACCCCTCCTTCTGTATGTGAATGTGCGTGCAGGTTTCCACATATGCAGCCAAAGTTATAGTCTTCTATAGAAATGGAAGTTACAAAATAAGCAACAAAGTTAATTATAGGTGTTATTTGCAGAAATCCCACTATGTGCCAGAAAGCATAAATGATTTATTTATGCATGTTGATGCATTTTATCTTCTCAGCAACCTTCTAAATATGTATTATTTTTACTGATAAGGAAGAGGATACTGGAAGACGTTAAATGACTTGCCAAACAACACATAAAATTGCTAGTGAGATCAGTTCTTTCAAACATCAATGTTTGGTGTCTTCCACACTTAGCTCAATACACTGTAAACAATCTTTTCTAAGTTTACTAAAAAGAACATTCTATAGAACTATGGATGCTTCATCTAATAGTGTAACTTCCTATTCACTACAACAGAGTAGATTAGCTTAAAGGCTCACTGAGCTAGATGACAATATCTATATGAGAACAGCAAACACCATGATGCTTCATAAAGTATGATCCAAATACCACCCACAGCAAAATTACCTGGGATGATGATGTAATTCTGATTCCTAGGCCAAGCCCTATTCAGCAGGTGTTTTAGTATAGACTTATTTTTAAAATTTGTCCATGGCATACTCGTGGCTTGTCTTTTCAGTTTTCAAATAAGCCAGTACCCTTTTTGTTTTAATTTGGATCAAATTTGGTTTAGACATCTCCATTAATATGGAAAAAGCATTCTAATTCATCTTTTTGTCAGGAGCTTCATAAACAGAAGCAGGAATAATATAAAAAGCAAATGCCCTGGGATGTCAGAAATGGCGTCTGTTGTTTAAAAATTCATGAATCTTATCCAAAAAAATAATTAAAATGTACCAGAAGAAGCAAAATAAAGACCTACAAGTGATGGGAGAGAGCTGGAAGATGAAGGTTTGTCTTAAAGTGAAGGGAGGATGAGGAAAGTGAGGGGAACATGGAAACAGAGTTGAGAGAGGAAATGACAGAAGGATCTTCTGGATAAAATCATCACAGGATAGAAGAGACTCTGGATACTGGGATTAAAAACCTTCCAGTCTCAGAAAGTCACAAGACTAGACCTCTAGGAATCTTAAATAAGTCCCATCCTGCCATGTGCCATCATTCATGACTTTTTTCCTGGAATCCTAGTAACTCAATCACATTTATTCTTCGTGCTATGCTAGAAGGTGCAGTGTTATGTCAAATAAAAAAGAGACACAAAAATAAATAAAACCCCATGGAATTACCTCATCCTTTACCTGATTACAAACCTGTATAGGTAAATAGTAGAACCCTCTTACCTTACAAACAGAAAAAAGTTGAAGAGGCAAATATATATATAAAAGGAGAGTTCTTGACAGATTATTTGATATATTTCTGAGCAATTAAAATAATGAAAAGGAATTTTCTTTTAGGTAGGTGTTGACAGCTTTTTCAATATCAAAGGTGCAAACCCTGGCTGTGGGACTCTGAAAAGGATAACCAAGGAGGGCTCCCTCTAAGAGGGGGATGGACGGAGGAGGCTACTCAGACTGGAAAAGGGCTATGATTAACGAATGAGGAGGCCTGACTCTAACCCAAAGGCCCTGAGGTGGGAAGAAGTAGAAAAGATAAGCATTCCAGTAATGTTAGAAGCTTCAGAGTGGGGAGAAGGGCAGTGACAACTGTCTGCAAAATTGAAGGATTTCTCTGGGGGGGGGGGGGGGGGGGGGGGGGGCGCGGGGGGAGGTTCCAGGTTTCCGATATTCAGTATACAGAAAGTGCCAGAGCTGTCAAGAACAAAGTATTTCAGAAGGGGTTCCACCAGCTACAGAAGTGACCAAGAAGGGCTAGAAAGATTAAAATCCATCCCAAATTCTCTAGAATTCCTTAAAACACAGGAATTGTATAAAAATGGATGAAAGGGAACCTTCTTCCACGACTGATTGAAGAAATAAAGAACCTGTCATTACAATTTGCTATGACAGAAAAAATCTACCTTCTCCTGAGAATTGACCCTTGACACTCATGACCCTTATATTTTTACCTTTTATCCTGAGTTTTACCTTTTGCAGACTTGATACCTGCTTGATCCTGGTACTATAGACCCGTATTAAAGTCCAATCCAAACACGAATGCTTCTCATCTGCAAACTTACTCCAAAAACTATTCCTTGGTCTGCTTTGATCTTCAGCTTTGCACAAACCTAGTGTCTGATGCTCTGGAAGTAACACAGAACTCTGCATTTACTCAAATGTCTCCTGCTGACAACTGTTCTGTTTAATCAATGCAGTTGAACTCTCCTTGATCCCATGCCAAGATCATGCTCTGGCCCCTGTGTCTCCCTCAATAATCTTTTACTTTTGTTGCCCTCCCCTGGAAATTCTTCCACTGCCTCATTACTCTAATATTAGAGTAGCAATAGAAAGAGCACAGACATTTGGCTGAAAAGAATTAGAGATACAGGAGAGTATTTGTAAACCAAAAGAATCAAGGGGTTTGGGGCCATGGAAGAGAAAGGCCAGAATGCTGACATCAAACTCATTTTGCCTGGTATCAGCCCTGC